ATGTAGCAAATTTGAAGGTAGGCTTTATCAGGAAGTATTACGATATGAATTACACAATGGCAACACTGCACAAAATTCTTTTAAATTTTGTTTGTAGAAAACTGTTTTCTTTTAAATTTATTGCCCTCTATTATGTAGTAGTGAAACTACCACATCAAATTATCTGATTTGGAGACAGACTTTTAAAGCCTGTCTCCTTTTGCTACCTACAATTTTATACATGTAACGAGGCTTCTGTTGCGTAGCTAGATATTCTGTGGTTGTAGCCTGTATCTCTGTGTGTATATCCTTGATAGCCAACACTATTTGCAAAAAAAATATATTTTGACCTACATACCCTAATTCTGAAATTAAACTTGATACAGTTTTTTTTTCGGGAAAATCAGAAAAACTTCTGGAAAAACGATGTAAACATTTTTTGAAAAAACATCATTTATCTTCATTAATCGTTAGAAACCTTGACTTAAGGCTAATAATAACTGAAAACATCAATTGCAAGGCTATTTGAATTTACTTTTTTACTGAAAATACATTTTTTTAATATAATAACATCAAAAAGATTCAGCCAAAATAGAATAAACTATAATATTAACGTTTGATTGAAAAAAAACGATGTCATAGTAGGCGTAGAACTAAGAATATTGGATTAATTTTACAGAATATTACCAATCTAAGGGAAAAAAAAAGGAATAAACCAATCTATACCTATGCAGCATGTGAAATTCATGTAATTTGTTGTGCTGTGTACAGGGTGGGTCAAACTCGACGCTTTTAAATGGAAACACCCTTTTCTATAGGAGATAGACGAAAACTAATATCGGTGTCTGGAGGTCAATTTTCACCAAAAACATGATGGTGGAAACCGTACATCAATATCTGTTACCGTTTCGGAGTTACGGGGTGTTTTTCAAAAATGTGCATTTTTAACAAATCGCTGTAACTTTTTTGCTATGGAAAATTTTGTATTTCTATGAGAACATTTCCAAAGCACCTTTTTACGTAGAATTTAATGGTTTAAGTATAATTTTTTTAAAATTAATAATTTAAGAGTTATCAACAGAAAAATTGATTTTTTATTTGGGACACCCTCTATATTTTTAATTAACTGAAAAGAATTTAAAATTACCTTTCCAAAAATATAGCACACTTGATATTTTGTTATAATCCCCTTCGAAATACAGAATTTTTAAAAGTTCACCACTTTTAACTAGTAGGCTTTGGACCCCTTATTGATGATATGCCCTTAATGGAACTCGAAAATATATTTTTCCAGCAAGACGACGCACCGCCTCTGAACGCTGAAGTTATCAGCAAATTTTTGCAGCCAATTTCAAGAATAATTGAATAGCTAACCAAGATCCCAGCCGTTGGCCGTCGAGGCCGCCTGACTTAGTGCCCATGGATCTAATCTTATGGATATATTTGCGGAAGAATAAAGGTTCCTTATTCTTCCGTATAATCTAGACAAGAATTAAAAATACTTAGCAGTTATGAGAGGATATCTTTCACCCCCACTGAGTTAATGAATTCCGCGAGAAATGTTCAAAAACTGCCCCGTCTGTCCATAACAGAAGACGGTTGATGTGTCGAACACCTGTAGCAAAATCTCATGTCTTGTTTTGCTATTTATTTTTATTGTTATTAGATATAGTTTAAATGTGTTGATGTTGGTTAAATATATTTTAAATTGTTATAAAATTCCGCATCTATCATAGCAAATATTATTTTCGTTTTAATTGATGCTCACAGTTCGAATTTGTTTGCATTACAGCCGGTGCCGTTCAAAGCCTACTTATTTAAAGCGGTATCTCGAAGAGGAATCGAGCAAAATATCAAGTGTGTTATATTTTTGGAAAGGTAATTTTAAATTCTTTTCAATAAATTAAAAATATACAGGGTGTTTCATATAAAAAATCAAATTTTCTGTTGATAATTCTTAAATTATTAATTTTAAAAAAATTATACTTAAACCATTAAATTCTACGTAAAAAGGTGCTTTAGGAATGTTTTCATAAAAATACAAAGTTTTCCATAGCAAAAAGTTACAGCGATTTGTTAAAAATGCATATTTTTGAAAAACACCCCGTAACTCCGAAACGGTAACAGATATCGATATGCGGTTTTCACTATCATGTTTTTGACAAAAATTGAGCTCCAGACACCGATATTAGTTTTTGTCTATCTCCTATAGAAAAGGGTGTTTCCATTTAAAAGCGTCGAATTTGACCTACCCTGTACACTACTACCAACGCTACTACGTATACAAGGGTTATACCGTATGATCGAAAAAAAACGGCGTCCAGTTGGCTTAGAAATAAACATCGATGACATTCTCCATAGGTATATCCTAGATCATACTAGGGACGATATAAATTTTGCATATAAAAAATGACAACGATCTTCATTTCATAGCCATCGCTGACGCCGTTTTTTTAAACGAAAAAAAAATTTTCATTAAAAATACATCCTTGCCAGAAATAAACATAAAGATTATTATAAAAAAATGAAGATATATTATTATTTATTCAGCTTGACGGGAATTTTTCAAAAATACAGTTTTACGTAATCATTGCATAGCAATATAATAATAATTGAAAATGTGTAATAAGCAATATCATTGTGAATTTGAAGTAAAAAATAATTTCTACGCACTTTTTTAAACTAAAAAAAATATAAGTTAGTTAAAACAGAAGATTTTAGAAAAAAAATGAGTTTTTAATTTTTTTCATATTTTTCCACCAATTCAAAATATTCTAAAAAATTCCTGAGTGTAAAGAAGTATAAAAGACATTTTCTGACGATTTTTAGTGAGTGACATAGAACTTATTTATCAATATACCCATGGACTATTGACATTTTAGATTATTTTTAAAGATGTACCAAATTTTTAAAGAGTACATATACTAATATTGTCGATATAATTCGTTTATTTCATTAAAAAATAAAAAAAACTGTTTAAATATTTGTTAAAGAGGATCAATTAATATGATTCCAGTATTCAAACTACATTAACTGACTGTTTGCGTTGATTAATAATAATTGCTCCAAATACTAAAAAACTGAATTTTGTATGGGCATTAGACAGTGTGATAAAAAGTAACACCTTAAAAATGATATTTCATTTTTTAATAAATGCTTATTTATAACAACGGAGACTTTAATTTGATAACTTATTATTATATTGATTTCTGACTCAAATCCACATTTATTTATAATAATTTATTAACGAACACAATTAAGTATGTAATTAATTAGTATATGGGCGGAAATAATGGTGTTATATTTAATTAATGGTATACTCTTTTATAAAGATTTAAATAGTTTTCTTTTTTGCATACAAATGGTTAGTAATATTATCGTTTTGCTAAAAACGATAATATTACTAGTCTGTACATTTTGTACATTTGTTGCTTTAAAAACAATCTAATATGTCAATATTCCATGGATATATTGATAAATGAGGTCTAAATTAAAAGAAAATGCATTTTCTACGAAAACTTGAAGGGATAGGTTAAAAATGGTATAATACAATTTGATAGACAATTTAATTGTGCATCTGATTCTCCTAAAATATACAGGGCATTCCATTTAAATTAAAGAAGTTATTGCCGTTTGAAGCTAATAATTATTTAAAATAAATTTTTAGACACTCTGTATAAGGTAGTATTATTTTTATTATTGCAACACAATAACTGATCAATAAATAAACTTCATTAAATATTTAGTATTAAAAACATTGATACCCTTGGAGAAATGAAGCTTTAAAATTTTTACTGCAATTTCACAAAATTGAAAATATTTCAAAAACGGTAAGTTTTAAGTATAATAAACCTTAATCAAATTTACCTTTATTTTAATCGTAGAAACTAAAAATGTAATAATATACAGGGTGTTCCATTTAAAAAAATACAACTTTGATATTTTTTATTTATTTGGGACACTCTGTATCTTGTAAAAATATTTTTAAATTGTAGCTCTAATAGTCCTTCAACGAACCCCAAACTTACAATTTGTAAAAATATCATCGTTTAGCCACAATACTCCGTGTCGTATGTGGTGAACAACCCTGTATAATAAACAGACCTTTAAAAACCTATTTTCGAGTTCTCTATAAAACCAAGAGGGTAGCCAATATTTGGACAGTTCAAATTGTGCATGGGATTTCCTGTTTCAAACGCTGATGCACAGATACAGGTACACCACCCAGTATAAAAGTAATAATCAAACTAAATTATGCATCAATTTTATTTAAATAAACCAAATACATAAAATAATAACGCATGCAGGCGTTATTAATAATATAAAATTCACATTTCAAACCATTCACCAAAATCGTGAACATTACAACATATAAAAATATATTATATCAACCACTTAAAAAAAGATTTATCATTGGTAATTACTCAACATAATGCAGTTTATTGATAAAATTTCTGAAACCAAATCTGGGATACTTTCATTGATAATTCTACAAATTTGTTTAATTATTTAATAGAATTAATTAATTACTATGCTAATTAACATAAACTCTATACAGTAGTATGATGTTTTGGAATTTTGTTTGATTAAATGTCTCTTAAAATAGGTTTTGGAATTATTTTTCTTTAAACAAAATCACCTAATTTGATACTTTATCCCCAAAAAGCAAAGGTTAATGAAACTTGTGCCTAAAACTTTGGATAAACAAAAAATTACCACAAAAAAACTAAAACAGACTAACAATAAACATTAAAAACTTGGCACAACATATTCTAACAAAGTTCTATTTATACAGCTACCTATTTAACACTTTCAAGGTCTAGAAGTCCGCATATTTTCGAAAAAAAAAGTAAAAGTTTTTTTGATGATGATGGATGATGGAACGATTGTGTCCATCAAACAAACATATTGTCTGGGTCGATTTTACACAGAAAAACGTCTTTAATCTTTCTCAAAGCGTTTCAATTGATGTAAATCGTTAAATATGACTTAAAAATATGGGAAATAATGCAAAAACTTACCCAGAGAAAGAGAACAGTGACCTAAAAACGGCTCCCCAAATTCTATTCCACTTCGAAACAAAAGAAGATCCTCCTGAACGCTATTTCGACAATCTTCAGCTGGAAAATCGACGGCCAACTGTTCATTTTCCACTAATGGAGGAGGTTTTTTGTTTAGGCGCCCCGCGGAATGATGAAAATTCGGGAAACCGATCCAGAAATCGCGAGCAACTTTCGCTGGCAGGGAAATCTCGCATCGTTCTGTCAAAAAATCGCGAGGAATGTTTCCTAACCGCACTTTTTTTATTTTTATGAGAGGCGGTGTTGTCAGACTAGGCAAAATTTCTTTAAATATAATTTTTCTCCGAAAAGCTTGGGATTATTGTTTTTTTATAAATGTTAGATAATATAGATTTTACCAAATATCTTATACGTATCTATGGAGTATATAGATCTCTAAACTATGCGTTTACATCAGTTACAGGCTGTTAAAGTTAATATAGGATGAATCTGTATCTCCTATATGAGTACCTAATAAGTATATAAACATTACTATTCCTTAAAAAATATTGCTTTTGGGTAAAAAAAGAAACACATATACATTCACATTACTTATTAATACGGTATAATCAAAAAAAAAAACGGCGTACAGTTGGCTTGGAAATAACGATCAATGACGTTCCCCATATAAATTTTATATATAAAATTACAGCGATCTTGATTTCATAGGCATCGCAGACGCCGTTTTTTTTTCACCATATTGTCATTGCCTGGAAACTTATATGGTGAAATTTTGATAAAATAATTTAGTACTCACTAAAAACACGGTACGTCGCTAGTGGTAGAAAAAATAATTTTTAGAGGTTACTAGTTTATTTGGTTGCCTGTGATATGCATATACAGGGTGTTTCCTAACTAATCTAAAAAATAAAAAATCGTTAGAAAACGGCTTAAGGCGGACTCTTAATAAGTATATTTATTTTTATCTCGGCAACCGTTTGATGAACAAGAAAAACTCAAAAGATCAATTTTGTTGAAAAAGGATGGCCAGTCAAGAAAAAAATATATTTTCTTTAAAAAAGCAGTACTGTACCATTTATGTTAAGCAAAATATCGATTTTTTTTTAATTTTTAACACGCTGTAGATCAGAAAGGAAGTACTTTAGACCTAATGGTTATATAAAAATTGTTTTAAGAAGACATGAGGAATCACACCACAATTTTTTCGACTAATTAGAAAAAACCCTGTATATTGTCAACTTGACAATGATTGTTGATAAATCAAAAAATACCTTTTCTGTAAAAAAAGCCCGATTTTCGCAGGAAAAATTTTGGTTTTTATTGAATTTGGGCCTGCGTTTGCAAATACCGGTATGTTTTTTAATATTCTATCTATCTAAATTTTAAATATCATAGTCAGAAATAGTTTTATTATTTATTAACTATAAAAATGGTATACTTATAAGTTTTGTCAAATATTGTGATTTACTTTCTACCTTGTAGTCAAAATTTATATTTAATAAACTGTAAAATATATATATTCTTATGTTTTATTAAAGTTACTCTGATATACTAATATATCAGTGTAACTTTAAAACTAAATCCTTTGAAATCAAATATAAACATAAAAAATATTTACAGCAGAAAAGGCGAAGGCGCTGGGTTAAACGAAGGTTAAACGTAGTCTCTACTAAGAACACGGAGGGGCGCTTTGTCCCAAAATTGTACTATTAAGTTTCATATCTATCTTAATAGAAGATTATTTTCTTTTATCTATGCCATATTGTCCATAAACATTAATAAAAGACTAGTAATGTTTAATGTTTTTGATAGTTATTTTGAAATTTTCTCCCTACTATTTTTTTTACATTTCAGTCTGGCAACTATGCAAGACACGTTTTGGCTTTGACATTTCCAGGAATGTACATTAACCTCACTTTTTTCTGATGAAAAAAAACATTAAAAGCCTTTTATTTATAGTTTTTTTCAATTAAAATCATCGAAAAAACTCAAAAATTGATCATATAAAGGTTGTAGAAGATTAAAACAGGATATTCCTCTAAAAATAAGGTACAGGAACGATTCTTTTCAATAAAAATTATGTCCTAAACTGGTATTTTTATATCAAAATACCCACTATATACCCGTAAATTACGTTATTATTACAAGTTTTTCTCGCATTTATGCAAAACTTTGTAATTATAATTATTATTATGGCTATAATATGTACAGATTTTAATTAGTATTTAGCTGGAACAGATCTTACAAAGATTACATGCTTCAAGACAATGATATAGGCTTCATCCATGGAAAAAGATTTTTTTTTTGTTTGATTAAATAAAACACAAGTGATTTGGGTGTTTGAGGGGGTTATATTTTTTTTAAAATAATAAATATTTACAGAAATAACTAGAAATTGTATAACACAGTCTAATCACAAAACTAATTTTTTTTGTTCGATTTTGTGATTATTATCTTTTTTTTTATGGGACGGTCCAAACGTTACGGTACAGGAACATTTGAACAGCGGCTTTTTCATTTTAACTCGATTAGAAATTAAGCAGCCTTAAAGTTATATTGGAAAATTATTACAAACCGATATAATAGTATAGGGCGTCCAAATATTCCGTGGACGTAGAACAGTTACGTATTTTTGGAATTAAAATAAGTTCATTGCATATAATTTACCTCTATACAAAAGTGCTTGGTTTTTCCACTAGAGGGCATCAAACTTATGTTTCTTAATTCTTCCAAAAATTCGTGTCCAATGAACGTATTTTAATTCCAAACACGCAGTAGATCTATGTCTACGGAATATTGGGACACCCAGTATAAACAATTAATGTTTAAAATAATAGTGTATGTATATCTGATACTATATATTCGATGGTAATACGTACACTTTTTTGTTGTTTTTACCCAAAAAAAAAAATATATTTGATTAAACCCCCAGGAACTATACATGACATACAGGGAGGTCCGAATGTAACCTGGAAACTTCGCCAGCATATTCTACAGATAAAAATAAGTAAAAAAGTTCGTGCAAATGTATGTCCTAAAATGCTTCGTTTCGGAGATACAGGGTGTAGAAGTTTCATTTTTATTTCGTTTTTTTTTTCAAATAATTTCTGATATAACGTCAATATTTTTGGATGACAGTTACTGGGTGTTTTTTTGACACGAGACATTCGATTTCTGTAGTAATATGGCTCCTACTTGTAAGGGGTACCACCTACATGTTTTTGAACTGTTGTGAAGAGTAATAACTTTTCTCGTCCATACCTGTATAAAACTACTGAGATAAAAAATATATATTTCCGCGTTTTTTTCGTTAAAAAAAGGTCTCTTGGTAAAAATCGGTACAGTCAACCGTTCTCAAGATCTTCAAAACAGTTTAAAACTATACAGGGTGAGTCTAAACAAGTGGAAATATTTTTAGGGTAGTATATTTCGACCCCACAAAACAACATATCTATGAGGGTTTTTGGTTAAAAAAATAGGGATTTTTTATTTTTTTTTAATTCTATAATTTTGTGTTAGAAAACATAATATCTTGATGATATGGCAAAATACAGGAAGCAGATTAAATTTACAAGAAAACCCAGAAAAGATCCAGTGGTCCTCAAAATTTAACTAAAAATTCTTTTTTTTAATATTCAAATAAAATATCTCTGTTATTTTAGATTTATTTGAAAAACGGTAAAGAAAAAAATAGTCATAAGCTACTGCTTAAAAAAAAACAAAAAAATATACCCTTTAAAACTAAATCTTAAATAACTTAAAAACGACCTATTTTAGGTATAGGAACATGTACAGGGTGGACCATTTTGGTTGTTTCTATAGGGTATCTAGGAAAGCGTAAGAAATATTCAAATTTTGACACTGCAGTCTCTTTTTTTGAAAAAAATCACGATGCCGCAAACGGATCGTGGCTATCTTGATCGGTTTCGAAGCTACAGGGGGATTCTCAAATTTTGTACTTTTTGAAGATGTTCGATAGTTTGTTTATTTCAGCCAACTACGCAAAAATGAATTATACATTCTAAAGGCACATTCCTGTGTAGAATGCAGTGGCGTAGTCAGACTTTTTTCGAAAAAAATATTTGTTTTTAGATATTAACTATAGTTCTGTTTTTTTTTAAATAGAACCCCCTGTATATTTTTAAATTTCCTGATTCAGCTTGGCATGGGCTTCTCGAAAATATATAACACTCTATATCAGTTAGTAGTAGGCTGCGCCGGGTAACAAAGTAAACGGTTGTCATGGTGATCGGGACACACCTTTGACGGGATGCGTGACATTTCATTTCAACAGATTGAAGTGTGTGTATTTTAAATGATAAAAAAACGAGTAAATTTGAAAATTTTGAGAAATATAATATGTTAGAATGTTATATTGAGTCTAACAAACATAAGCAAATGGCGGCTGATTAATATTTTGAGCGCGACCAACCAAACCAGCCATTTTTAAACGGTCAGAAAATAGTTTAATCCTAGCCACCTAGGTCACCTGATATCACTCCCTTGGACTTCTTTCTCTGGGGCTTTCTGAAAAACGAAATTTATCGAAATGCAAATAGAACATTAGAAGAGTTACAAGATAGTTTTGTTGTGCCTTTGCAAAGTGTAACCAACATACACAGTGCCAGCTCGGTCTATAATAGATAATAATGGGCAGCAGTTTGAACATTTAATGTAGTCTTGGTGTTTTTATAAGCCCCATTGAAGTAACCTGTTGAGTTTGTATTAAAATATGTTCTTTTTGTTTCTGTCACACTTATTTTTATTTGATTTTAGATATTCGCTTATTTTCAGTTACCAACAGGAAAGTCGATATCTTTAAATAAATTGGAATTTTAAAATTAATAGTGAAAATAAATATATAGTGTTATATATTTTCGAGAAGCCCATGCCAAACTGAATCAGGAAATTTCAAAATATACAGGGGGTTGTATTTAAAAAAACATAAATATAGTTAATATCTAAAAAAATATTTTTTTTTTTTGAAAAAAGTCTGACTACGCCACTGCATTCGACACAGAAAAGTGCCTTTAGAATGTTTAATTCATTTTTGCATAGTTGTTGAAATAAACAAACTATCGAACATCTTCAACAAGTACAAAATTTGAGAATCCCCTGTAGCATCGAAACCGATCAAGATAGCCACGATCCGTTTGCGCCAATGTATTTTTTTCAAAAAAAGAACCCGAGACTGCAGTATCAAAATTTGAATATTTCTCACGGCTGTGGTAATCATTAAATTTGTTGTTT